TTTTTTTTTTTTTTTTTTTTTTTTTTTTTTTTTTTTGACCTTTCCTAACCCTTGCACGGGCTGGTCAGCTGGGATCCGGGCGGCCCGGCTGGTAGCCTAGAAACTTTCGTTGTTTTTTTTTTTTACTAACAGGGTAGAGCGCAATCCCCATTCGTTCGTTTTCATGAATAGCTAGCACTCACAGAGGACATAGTCACATTAGTAGTTTCTTGGATGTATTTTACCACGATCACATACAAATATGCATTTTTTTGTTGTTGGTTTTTTTCCTCCGACGAACTACTTCCGAGCAGATGTCGGGGAGGGCATGCTTGCAGTAATGTTGTCCAGAATGTACCTGCGTGCTATCACCGCCAAATTCTTTTCCTTTCCCCCCCCCCCCCCTCTTCCCCTGCCAGCAGTGCAGAGCATAATCCACGCTCGTTCTCAGGGATGGCGTCACTGACAGCGTAGTCCCACTAGTACTTTTACTGGCAGCATACTCACACTAGTACTTTCTTGAATGTATCTAATCGCCATCACGACCAAGTCTTTGCTTGTTTTTTTTTCTTGGTTTGTCTTTCCTCCAACGAACTGCTTCCGACCAGATGTCGGGGCAGGCTTAACTGAGGGCATGCTCACAGTGGTGCTGTCCAGAATGTACCTGAGCGCTATGACAACCATATTTATTTTTCTTTTTTTGGTTCTCGTCCAACAATACACATCACTGACAGCATATAGTAATACTTCCCCGAATGTATCTGACCGTGATTACGAAGAACTTTTTTTTTTTTTTTTTTTTTTTTTTTTTTTCGCCCCTCTACTACACGTTCTTTGAAGTGCCCCTCGCTCAGGCATAAAACACGGGAGGAAAGGAGAGAGAGAAAAAAAAGAAAAGCAAAGGAGAAAGGAAGTGGGGGGGAGGGGAAGTATAAGTAGAAGTACTGGTCCCTCAACATTGAAGGACTTGTCGCTCGCTGTAGCACTGCTTTACTCCAGCTACCTCCTCCCGAAACAACTAGGTTTGGTAGCTCGAAAAAAAAAGGTTCGGACAAGTGCTTCGTAAGGTACTATGGTTAAGGGTTTGGAAAGGACAGACATTGAGGCCGTTGGTCGGTCGCGTTATCTCATTGGGGTATAGCCAAGTGGAAAGGCATCGTTGTTTGATACCAACATGCAAAGGTTCGAATCCTTTTACTCCAACGATTCATTCCAATTCAGTTTTTGTTTTGAAAGCTGACGTATTAAACTTCGGAAACCTCCAAAAGAAGCCAAAAAAAAACCTATCCAAATACAAAAAATGAAAGGTAACTTCATTATGGTAGTATACCAACCAAACAACTCCAATTACAAAATGTGAAAACATGAAAAATTCTCTTCTGTTTAAATCGGAGAACTTATGAATGAAATACGGCTTGAAATTTTCAAACACAACACAATTAAAGCTCCTTGATAGGGGCTCGGCGGAGAATGAGTCTCGGGTGTTTCCTTCTTCGGTATACTTTTCCGTGCGCTTCGTGCCTACCCCAAGAGACTTGATTTTGTGCCTTCCATTTCACGGCATGAATTTGGGTACTTAGGAGAGAGATCCCATTATGACTTAGCCAACTGCTAGGGGGCAAAACGCAAAGATGCCCTCGTCCTATAGGGGTACAACGAAAATGTATCGGTGGCAAGTACCGGGACATTTTGCAAAGATGGACAATACCCGGTAGTCGTATTTTGCAAAAGTGGCGGGTTCGCAAAACAGTTTTCGTGTCAGAGGGGTATTCCACTATACCACATTTTTTAAGGGCATTTTGGCATAGCCACATCAGCTAGGGGCTTTTTGGCATACTTCTCAACTTGTAGGGGTATTTCGCAAATTATCCAAAAAAAGAATTGTAAAAAGTTGGCAAGTACCGGGAGATTTTGCAAGGAAGGACAGAACCCAGTAGGACTATTTTGCAAAGATGGTGGGTCCAACCAACACCAGGGGCATTTCACAAAAAATAAGGGGCATTTTACTCTACGGACATCTTTTAGGGGCATTTTGGCAGTCCCCTCACTCACAGGCCTCAAAAAATACAATGAGGTCCACGTCCGCCCCTGTCCCTCATACTGCCTATGCTTCCAGCACATCGCCGTCGGGTAAACGCCGGGCCCTCCAGGCAGGGCCGCCGTCAACAGGCAATTTCTGCCAGGTTTGGGCCACCCCCTAACCTTTCTCTGGGCCTATCAGTAGCTCTGGCGGGCCCCACTGCGCTTCGCCTGACGCTCATTGGCTCTCGATGTGGGTACCCGTCGGCTTTCCCAACCTGCTTGCCGTTCCGCGCCTCGGGCTGTGTACCCGCGCCTACAGTAGGTGATATAGTCCGTCAAGGTAGCAACAGGAATCCCTCAGCTTCTTTTCTTGATCGTCGTTGGGAGTAGTTGATCGAGACACGCGCTCGGGAGTAGTGTGCCAGCAGCCGCAACTGCGACCATGAGGGCGAAGGTTGGTATCTTGTCCAGACTCGTTTGTTTCTTTGGTGAACGCCATTGATCGTGGTTCAGTCGGTGTGTAGGGCGGGCAAGCGACGGGAGCTAACTGGTGAGACCACTGATGATGTGTAGTTGTCGAGGTACTATCGTATAGGGGTGGAGGCAGTTGAGTGAGGGATTTTGAGGTTGAAGGTGATGAGTCAGGGAGTTACCTCATCACGGATGAACTTGGGATGTTGGCCGACAGGGGTTGAAGGAGGTGAATGAGGAGTGCTGGAAGAGAGACGGAAAGGTTTTCCTTTAGGGTTTCGTCGGCCGTCTTGTCGCTTTTTGGCAACATATGAGAGAGAGAGAGAGAGAGAGGAGAGAGAGAGAGAGAGAGAGAGAGAGAGAGAGAGAGAGAGAGAGAGAGAGAGGCTGGGATGTAGTGCGTTAGGCATTCAGACAACCAGACAGCCAACGAGGCAGACAAATATACGCTGATGAATGAGGGGCAAAGACAGATTCGGAGACAGCGACAGAGAGAGAGACTCTCTCCCGGTCTCATCAATGCCCTTCTCTATCCTTCTCTCTCTGACTCGTACACGCATTCAGAGTCTTGATATGGCGGTGAAAGTCCGACGAAACATTCTTGCACAGTCATGCTCTTTGTGCGTTTGTGAGAGCAAACGTGAGACTAGGCACACAGCCGTCACTACGTTTGGGGCCGCTGCCTGTTTGTGACCTGGCTAGGCCTGCCGATAGGTTTTTCTTTTGTTATTTCTTGTGATGTACATTCGGCATGCAGAAAGAAAGTTCGTTTTCGTGCTTTATGTTTGCTGAGATGTATTGTTGAAATGAAAGGGCGTTTTGTGTTTTGTTATTGTCAAGCGATCAGGTATTGGTGGGACAGTACTATTCAGAAGCACTCTAACAAAAAATCCTAGTGATGAGCCTAGCTAGTGTAAACACTTTTGTTGAGCACTACGTTTTGTGAGTGATGTTTGCTGAGATGTATGGCTGCGACGAAAGGGCAGTTCTGTGTATCGGTGGGACAATGCTATTCAGTACACCTACTTTCCAGAAGACCCTGGAAAAAAACCCTAGGGGTGAGCCGAGGTAGTGCACGATACTTGAGCACTACTTTTTTGTTGAAAACCCTCTGCGGTGTGACTGGCGACTCTGGGTCCCCATTTTGACATTCGTTGAGAGAGAACGTCTGGCGTAATTGATCTGCGGTGTGACTGGCGACTCTGGGTCCCCATTGTGACATTCGTTGACCCAATACACACAGAGAGAGAGAGAGAGAGAGAGAGAGAGAGAGAGAGAGAGAGAGAGAGAGAGAGACAGAAAGGTCGACTCTCGGTGCCCATCGTGACATTCGTTGACCCAATACCGAGAGAGAGAGAGAGAGAGAGAGAGAGAGAGAGAGAGAGATCGTCTGATGTAATTGATCTGCGGTGTCAGACTGGCGACTCTCGGTCCCCATTGTGACATTTGTTGACCCAATACCGAGTTTACGCGCAAGTTCCATGGTTAATATGGTCGCGGTGCGGCGCTCTCCGTGATTCTTTGTGGCAAACGGAAATTGACTAATATGGCTGTTGTGGTGTATTTTATGTCCTGCAGTGGAAGAAGAAGCGTATGAGGCGTCTCAAGAGGAAGCGCAGAAAGATGCGCCAGAGATCGAAGTAATGGACGACGCCTATGGGTTGATTGGGGGGAGGGGGAGGGGGCAGTCAGAGTGGGTGGGAGAGTGGGAAAGGGGTGAGTTGGTAGTATGGTTCAGGGGAACGAGAAGGGGAGGAAGAGGACAAACGCATGGGCTACACGGATGCGAACGTGGATGGGGATGTTTCAATTTGGCAAACGCGCTCTATGCTCTTCCGCTTGACGATATTTGTAGTGTAGTGTGATAAGGAACGAGTGATTCTTAAGTTGTTATATTGGACCGGCTGGTCTTTCTCCTCGCCGTAGCTGGTACTCGTTTGCTATTTTTGCATTTTGCGTTGGTGTGGTTGTTGGAGTGTGTTTTCGATTTCATATTTTTCATTACGCGTGGGAGTGTGGTTGTTGGTGTGAATCTTCGATTTGTTACCTTTGCGTTTTGGGTTGGAGTGTGGTTGTTGGTGTGTGAATCTTTGGTTCTGTTTGCTTGGTTAATGTCTGTTTGGTTTATCCGTGGGTCGTGTACTGTCTAGGTTGATCGTGTGTCCTGTACTGTCTTGGGCCGTTCGTGGGTCGTATGTCTTGGTTGGTCCGTGTGTCGTGTATGGAAAGATATGCACGGAAAAATGGCTACGGTTGTTATAGCCATGCCAAGGCACATGGCTGTTGTCTGCCTTGGATGTGTTTATATCTCTTCGAATATTTTGTTACAATGTTCCGTGATATGCCTGTTACAAGATTCCCTGTTTGTGTTGTAGTTTTTTTGTTTGTTGTTTTAAAAAAAAAATAAGAACCAGGCTCCTAGGGGCGGAAATAAGAGCAGCCTCTCCTACTGTCTTAACCCGAATAGAACGCCCGGTTATTGCAGCTGTATCTGCACAGAAATTGCAGGAAGTACGGTTATAATCACCGTGCGTTCGATTCCGGTGAAGACTAGTGGGTGGCGTGTTGCCCCTTCTGTGGGTGGGAAGACGCAGATGCTCTCAGTACAAAATCATCTCAACAGGAGTTTTAGATTGTTTTGAGCTGTGTGCACTTTCCCCGAACTTGGCGAGGGTTCTGGCGTGTTTTTTAGGTTACGTATGTCGTACCTACGGGTAAAACGTAATCCTCACGGACTTTACCCGAATAGATCGCTCGGTGATTATCGTGTTTCTAGGCTGAAATGTTGGCCCGTGTGTAGCGAAGGTAAAACCTAATCCCCACGGACTCTACCCGAGTAGATCGCTCAGACTCTACCCGTGTTTTTAGGCTGAAATGTTGGCCCGTGGTTATCGTGTTTCTAGACTGAAATGTTGGCCCGTATGTAGCTAAGGTAAAACCTAATTCCCACAGACTCTACCCGAATAGATCGTTCGGTTGGCTCGTTTGTAGCTAAAGTAACCGTGATCTCTGTTCGGGTGAACTCCGTAGCATTTTGTGTTTGACGGTGAGAGTTCGACGCATGCGGAAACCTGAAACCGACTAGCATCTATGGTGGTGCTACGCGTATTTGCCCTGACAACGATGGTGCTAATTGTTTTATGGAATATGAAAGGAAGAATCTGACAATGTTCGCAACTACATTCGTGATCTGAAAGGCACAAATGTAGCAGCGGGCCCCTAAGTAGTTCTTTCCGAGCTATGTGTTGTGTTTTTGTTATGGACAATTGACATGTCGGATCTGGTAAAGCTTCCTTGATGAAGAGAGTAGAGTGCAATTTGTCGTAAACGCGGCTGTTGACACATCTAGGAATGAAATGTCTGTTGTCGCGGAATTCTCTTCCGTTCAATGTGAATTCCGTCTTGCGGTCACTCGCGCCGTGCTAGGAGGGAGCCATCAGATTCGCTCTCTGCGGTAAGCGTTGAGGAAAATATTGTTGGTTTGCCATTCCCGCCTTTTCCTTACGAGTTCAGTATTGTCGAGGTGTCAAATGATGCCAGAACGATGCTCTTCACGGAACGACGATGTTGTGGTGCGGTAGTTGAGGGGAGATGGATCGTCGAGTTTCTACCCTCGCGTGGATTACCACTATACCTAGTAGGGATTGATAATTCCCTTGAGCTTTTCGCTGCCTGAATTGGATGTCCTGCACCCTGATCCACAACAGAACAGTCTGAGACTTCGAATGGTCAATCGACTAGTAGATTAGAGAATGGTAATGAAGGGGAGACCTCCACTGTCTAGGTATCAATCCCGTTGTCTCTCTGATTCTCGGGAGGAGCCAATATGCTCTTCATAGGTGCTGAAATTTGTGGCGGTTGGACAGGTTCGAACAGGTCCGAAATTGCACGCGTGCCATGGTATCGGCTGGATGAGTGGGATCGCGCCGGTGCCGTTGTTCCACTGTTAGGGTAGGAGGGAGTATTTGTGTAGGGTTAAGGAGGTTTCTATTTGTTGTGTTTGTGTGGGCAAGGAGTTTGTTTCACTGCTTTTACTGATCTTTGCCTTAACCGGGCTCCTCGTGTAATCGGAATCGGGGTGGGAGAGACCGTTATCTAGGTGGGCAGTGTCGTACTCCAGGAGAGGGTAGAGAAGTTCGTTGGAGGCAGCCGAAAAAGATCATGATAGAATGTATATGAGAGCTTATTATACCAGCGACTCGACGGAAGGGTCCCCGGCATATACCAGGTGTCGTTATTCTCTCCAAGAACATCTCAAGTCACAGTGAAACGCGCTGCTGTAATTCATTCATTATGTGGTAGGTGATGAACGTTGTAGAGATTGCCATATCCTGTCCGTGCTTGGTGGCCAATCGTCACCTCCGAAAACATTGAGAGGTTTTGCTGCAAACTCGATCAAGTAGGTAGTTTTTGGGCGATTGATGGCACGATCTGTATATACATATGTATATCGTCAAACAGAGCTGCCCGGTAAACCGTAGAAAGAGAGGGACGAGGACAACAAGCGGGTCTTGGCGAACTGCTCCGTCTGAGTTTCGCCGACTGATCAGGAGGCTGAAACCTCAACAGGCTGCAGAATCCCCGAATTGATTACACTGTAATTGATAATCCACCTTAACCCCGATTGTGGTTTGCCGACAACGGATGCCTTGAGGTGGGCAACGACTGTCCTCGGCACTATCTCTCCCTCCCTCGTTGAATCTCCCACCTGTTTCTTCCCTTTCAGATCGTAAATCAAGCTGTTCATTCCTGTGTTGCAGATTCCGAAAGGTGGGTGGAGAGAGAGAGAGAGAGATCTGCAAAACGCAATGAACATTCGTTTGCTTTTCGTACGGGAAGAGACGTGGGGAGGTGCACACATAAACACAGAGAGAGAGAGAGGGAAGAAACGTGGGGGGAGGTGCACACACACACAAAGAGAGAGAGTGAGAGGGAAGCGGATGGGGTATTTTGTTTTGCGGACCTACTGTATGGTTCCGTTTTTTTAAACTAGGGATATGGTAGAACTTGTTTTGGTAACCTTGTCTGCATCCCGGTTGGTTTGGTCCCGTTGTTCGGGTTACTTCACGAGCGTAGCGGTGCTTCCACGTGGGACAAGTCATCGGGGTTTTCTTTTATCGTTTTGCTATCCTGGATGGTTGCTTCCCGTTGTTCGGCCTGTGTGAGGGGGCGGTGCTTCTATGTGGGAATCATCATCTGGGATTATCCTTCATGTTTTGATATGTATCTGGGATTCCTTTTTTTGCAGACAAGAGTGCTTTGTCCTGGGAGGTCTTGTCCCGTCGTTTGGCCTGTGTGGGACTGGGGCGGTGCTTGCATGTGGGACTTGTCATCTAGGATCCGTTTTTTGTGCTGTTGTTTATTGCCCCCTGTTGTCGTATTTGGGTGTTTCCTGCCTGTCTTCTTTGCCTCTTTCCCCTTTGGCTGTGTGCTGTGTGCAAGTGCGTCTATATGACACACGGGGGTGAGGGCAGCCGCCGCTCAACCTGCATCTACGTGTGTGAGAGAGAGAGAGAGAGAGATTGCTGGTTCATGTCTGAATATGGTGAAACACGTCCAGATTTAAAAGCAGCCTCCAGTGGACTGGCGCCCGTGCTGGGTGGGGCTGGCCGGGCTCCCTGCGGGGCAGTGCTGGGCCGTGCTGTTTTGGCTCAAATTTCAAGTAATGGCGCCTGGCCCTCTTTTGTTTTTTGTCAGGATGGTCCTTTGTGTGTGTGCCTCACGATGGCTTAAAAATCGTTGTCAAAATTTGCTATCGTGTCTTTTGGTCGGCGGTGGGTCAAAAATACATTGAAGTGACGTTGTAAGCTTCCAGGGGCAAAAATGTAACCCTTGTGGGTTGTGAACTATTGACTACTGTGAGGGCATGAGTGTGCAGCCCATCATTTATCGACTTACCGTGAGGGCAAGGGTGGGCAGCCCGTAGTTTGTATAGGCTTAATTGATCTGTAGTTTGTATGCTTAATTGATGGAGGCGTTATTGGTGAGTAGTAGGGTGATGGTAGGGTGATTGTTGCATGTAAAAAAAGAGTATTTGTGTGTGTCAGGTCTAGTGTGTGTATGTTTGTTTGATATATAGGGTGTTCGTGTTTATCACATCTGGTGGAGTCGGAATGTGTGGGATTTAGGCTTTTGCCTGATTGGACAATCGGGACCCCCAGACCCCCTGACCGTCCAGGGTTGTCCGCTCAGACAACCGGTTGGACATCGGACATCCTCATCGAGCAGATCGTTCGAGCCCGAAGGGCCAAAAGAAAACCATGTTATGCAGAAAAATAAAACTGAACACCTTTTGCCTTGGAATGATATCGAAATTCGTTGTCAAATTTGAAAAAGAAAATAAAATTAAAGACGCCCCCAATTGTTTTTTCTTTTTTGTATGCTTATAATTGCTAAAAGTTGAGATGTCCGGTCCGGATGTACGGCTGTCCGCACAGGATGTCCGGCCAGGACGTCCTGCCATCGGACAACTGGTAAGATAGGATTTAGGTAATTTGTATGGTATTAATATATTAGATATTGACATACCTTGATTCGTAGTTGGTGTCGAGGCTGGTGGTCCTTGAATCTTGGTCCGTATGTTGTTTGTGCCGTGAGTGTTTGTTGTTTTATGTTTTTTGAATTATTTATTATTAAATGTTTTGTCAACTAATGAGTTGATATGCATGACAAAGTAGTTGTGGAGGTGTTTGTAGTGTGGGTGTGGTGTAATTTTATTGAGGGTGTAAAGTCAAATTTCGTTATGTGAAAGCGGGTTAGGTAGCATAAGATGTTGAACCCTGGAGGATGAAAAGCCCACAATCTTGTGAATTAGTTTGTGGAGGTCCTCGTAAGATTGTAGTAGGTGCATCTTGTAGGTGTAAGCAATCTGTACAAGTGGATAGCCATTGTTTGATGTTTGTAGTAGTGGTGGAAAGGTTGTTATAATTATATATATAGATTGTGTTTTCAGGCGTAAACCACCAGTACCTGTATTTATAGATTATATTAGGTGTAAGCAATCTGTAGAAGTGGATTGCCCGCGTTGTCGTTAACGGCCTGCTACGTCCAGGATTTGGGGTACCAGAACTCAATGGCTGGAAGCACCAGCCAGAACCAAGTCGAAACGGCCCTGCGGCGGTTTGGGAAAACTGTGTGTGCAGGGGGGTGGGTGCCTGGCATCCAAGTGGACTGTTGTTCATGTTTATTGGAATGAAGAAACGAGTGATTGTTGTATATGGTTGAAGTTTTTCTTCTTTATTTTGTCGATCAACACACGGGTAATAATATTTTGCTATACGTTGGTTGTATGTGAATATTTCTGCAATGAAATTAGTTGTGGTTTTATCCGTTATTAGTTCAACATAACTGTTTGTAGGTGTATCTGAGTGCCAAAATATTATGTAAAGTTGTGTATGAAGTTACTATCACCATGATTCAGAATTGATTGGGATTGGAATGATGTTTTCACCATCTGAATTTGCATTTGTTTGTTCAATACTAGATAGAGATGGGGTGATGATTTGATAGGTGTTGTGGAAATGTTTTATAGAGGAATTTATGCTTAAACATTGGTTAGTGTTGTTTGCAAAATTTTATTGTGTGGATCATCTGGCAAACAAATGAAATTTGGCATGGTAACTGTCTTGAATTATTTAATGAATCATTGGTTGTTTTGGTTTTGTGTGGGTTTGTGACGACCTGTGCAAACATGGACTGAAACACACGGCTAATTTCTGAGTTTTGCTCATAAAGACTGGATGCCTTGCTGAGTTTCCCGCCTGCTACTAAGTCTGTGTGCAGGCTTGCTGGACTGCATGCCTGTCTGAGTGTGTGTTGGTTGAGTGTGTGTTGCCGTGCCTGTCTGAGTGCTGGTTGGCTCGAGTGTGTGTGGCCCGCAAGAGCACTTGCTCGCTTATTGGGCCCTCAGGGCATGTACTTACCTGTGGCCTTGACATTGAGGGATTGCAGCGGGAAAAAACACAAGTAGCGGGTAGGCTGGTACCGCACCTTGAAGAGGTAGATGTGCGGGTACTGGAGGCCGAGCAGAAGACAAAAGTGGCATTTTTGGAGGCCCAGTAGTTGTAGGCTAGGTCTAGGCGGGTACCAGTCCAACCAGTCTGGGTCTAGGGCCTGTACGGGCAATAGAGTACCCGCTCGGCCTTCCAAGCAACTCGAACAGCTTCGAATGTTTGCGTGTCATGAATGTTTAGGGTAGGACCAGGGTTCCAGCGTGGTCTTTAGGGTAGGGACCAAACGATGGCGTGTCGTTAGTTGTTTTACATTTTTTGGACTTAAGCTCATGTCTGCGTTTCAAAACTCTGTGTACCGATTGAGCTAAGCCCGTTGGTTTGTCGTGAAATCTTTATGTATGTGATCAGACGATAGTTATCAATTGCCAAGCAAAGGTTGTACTTCAACGATGTTGTGGTGCGGAAGTTGAGGGGGACACAAAGTGTTATTGTTTGCCATTGA